GATGATTGTGTGAACAAATCTTGCATTTTGCTTCGCAGTCCCGTAAAAATGTTCATGTTTCCCACAATTGAAACATGTAACTTTGTTTGTGTCGGACACACTAGATGTCCGCGGAAGTAGCGATATTGCCGCAATCATTACATTATCGGAACCATCTAATTGTCAAGCTTCCTAGGTTACTTGTTCAAGGGTAACAGCAATTTCCACAGTCTTTGCAAACGTTAGTTCTTCAGATTCCAGTAATAACCGTTTGATTGTAACACCATCGTTAAAACCCGTGGGGAATTGGTCACGCATTCGATCATCTCTATCTATGAATTTGCATCCTTCAGCAGCTCTTGCAACCCGTCGTGAAAATTCCGTCACACTTTTGTTACTAGCTTTTTGTATAGTTGCAAATTCAAAACGTAGTATTAACGATGACTTCGGTTTAAAAAGCTTCATGATGTTTTCCTCGATGTCTACGTAGGTAACTTAGTCATCTTCTAGGTATGCAGGCAAGCATATCTCTTCCAGTGCAGAATAAATCTATGGTGACAAACATGTTAATATTATTGTTTTCCTTTTGGATTCGGGTACGTCCATCGCAGTTATGCATGTTCGTAGTTGGCGGACAAACCGCTAATGGTTGCCATCGAATACCGGTGGCATAATTGCCGAAATAGCTTGCTGGATCGTCGCGTCCATGAATTAAATAAACTAAACGTATTATTTTATAGCCTTCTTCTAACCTCACTAACTCTACACAAAAATCGTTTCTATATATACAAAATAAAAAAGTCCCATGAGAATACTTTTAATTACAATTGAAATAACGCGTAGTTTTCAACATGTATCTACGTGATTTCTAACATGTATAATTCACCAACATAAAAATAGAACAATCATTCTAAGGTATCGTGGAAACCGCCTTCGTGTTCTTTTCTGTACTTGTTTTATTCTGATAAAACATTACAGTGAAATTAAACAATATCTTACAACTGGAACAGTAAAGTGTAAAAGTTTGCAAGCAACTCTTCGAGAAGCATTTTGTAGTGTAATCGCAATCAAACAAATTTTTGTGCTAGGAGTATTTAGAAAACTTCTTACTGGAAATGTTTTATGTAACATTAGAGCATGCAACTTTTGATCTTGCTGGTATCCAGGTTGTGTAAAATGTTATATAAACAGTTTAAGCTTGCAAATCCAATCCCGCAGAGTTGTTTTACAGACAGACTGATTTTTTTGGGAAATCGCAAAGCCAATCATTTTAAAATCAGTAACAAGTTTATGCTCAATTGATGAAGAACTTCTTAAAATGACTTCTGCATGTCTTATTGCAGTGGAAGATGTTATAAATAGACAATATAATAGATGTTATTCGCTTTCTATTATGGATTATCTGGACAGTCTAGACCTAATTTTGAGAGAAAAGTTAGTTAAATAGTCAATTAACGTAGCACATAAAAATAGATTTAGAGATCAATTGTATCATGCTAAAATTTGAGCTGAGATTTGCCAAAGACAAGCATCCAAGCGCCAAAAAATTGATGTAAAAAAAGATAAAAGGAAGTTAGAGTGGAACTATCAAAACTGAGTTTTAATGAAATTATAAATTTATATAGACACTTATCCAACTACCAACTTGATTTAGAAGATGTTATGTTAGGGAGAATTGTTGGAAAAAAACTAGACAATGAATGGTATAATCCAAACACTAAACACAAAGCAAATGTGTTTTATATAACGGCAGAGTAGAAAAAAATGATAATAAGAAAAAATGACCTAATATACACCATTTCTTACTGAAAAGATGATGAAACTGATATTGAAACTGTTGAACATTGCATGAAAAAGATACAGCTGGCTGCTGATGTAGTTTCTGGAGTGTTGCAATTTTATTAATTAGATAACACCACAAAGGAATAACTTTTACCTTTCACCTGTTTTAATTTTTAAAGTTTTTTACAAATTTTTTTTTTAACAGTAATATTTTTAAAATAATTTAACAGTTTATTATAAGTTACATATATTGTGTTGTCTTATTCTACTCAAAAAAACTACTGCAAGTGTTATGACTTGACAAAAACATAGTGCAAGTGTTGTGACTTCACAAAAATTTTTGACAGGCGGCTCAGGCTTATCTTCACGTGGTGTCTATCCTTACAAATGATTATTATAATAGTTTTATCTATAGAATTTATTATTTCAATCATTTACTAAGAGCCAAGACAATATTTTTAAAGAAAATCATCTTTAAAGTAATCATAAATTACTATTTTTTGACAAGAATACACCAATCATATTTTATTAATTTTTTATTTTTAAAACACCTTTTTTTACTGCTATTGACTTTTGACTAATAGACAAATTACAGTCCCTCAAAGATTTTATAATATTTTAGAATTGCATCTGTAATTAATGAAATAATTTATTTCAAAGGATTTTTTTTAATTATTTACACTTTTTTAGGTTGGGAGGGGGAGGGGGGTTGAAAGCCCCCTCCATTATGACCAAGCATACACTAATACATTCAAGTAAAATATGTTTTTATAATTCTCTATTTTTTTTCTTTTATACTTTTAAATGCAAAACTGATAATTATATAACTAGCACAGTTTTTGACTTTTAGAGTGGGATAAAACATCTTATTAGAAATTGACTGCATCATGCTAAAATTTGAGCTGAGATTTGCCAAAGACAAACATCTGAGCGCCAAAAAATGGATGAAAATGAAGTTTTGTTTTAATAAGTTATCATACAGAAATTAAAACTTTATTAGCAAAAATAAAAAAAACAAAAATAAAAAAATTATGTTAGGGAGGATGAGGGGAGGGGTGCAGAACACGCCACTCCCATAAATCAATGTGAAACCTTTTATATATGTAAAAACTTGTATGACTTAATTTTTTATTGTATACTAATTTTACTTATATTAGTAATGATAAAAATATGTGTATAAAAAAACAATTTTTTGTACTAGGGTGTGTTAAGTCATCACCACCATATCCACCTCTAGCTGTAAAATACAGCTCTCCTATAGGGTAATGGTCTGGTATAAAATTATAATCACTTTTTGTATTTTAAATCTTTTATTTACTCTTCAAAAACACGTTTTTATTAAAAAGTGTTAAGTTTTATACGGGTAAGGTGGTTTGGTGGCCCCTTGGTCCGCCCTATACGCCCGGTGGTCAGAGTTTAGCATAAACTCGTAGCCCGCTCTTACGCCTATCTTTTGATACTAAGATATTTGTATTTTGATAAGAATTGACAAAGTTATGACAATTTAAGTGAAGAAAAAACATATTTTTGACCACAGTTTCTTCAAAAAATCCATATGTAAATTGGTAAAGACCTGTATTTTACAGATCTGGAAAGCTAGGATATATAAGGAAAAAGTATAAAAAAGTTCGGTTTGGAATAGATTTACAAAGACCCGTATTTTTACGGGTCCGATCTCAGCTAGTATGTAAATAATGTACAATTTGAAGAATTAAATGTTAAATCCCAAAAAGATCAATTCTTGGTTGACTCCTTTTTTTATTAGTATAAATGATTTTTGTAATGTGTTCTTAAAGCTAAATTTAATCAGGTTTGCTGATCATACAAATCTATTTCTTACTAACAATGATATCGAAAAACTATGCAGTTGTTGAATATTAAATAGATAAAGTAAATACTTGGGTAGGGCTAACAAACTCACCCTCAACGTTGCAAAAACAAACTTTATATTGTTTCATCAAAAAACGAGAAAACCTGACACTTAAGTTTTAAAATATAAATAAATTTAAAAACAAACCAGCATAAGGTTCTTAGGAAATCTTGTTGATGAACATTTATTCTGGCATCCTCGAATAAAATTTAAGTCAATCATTTTAAAAACTCAATATAAATTTAAAGAAAATTTAGTAATTCCTAAAGAATTAGACAGCAAAACCGCAATGTAAACAAATGAGTTTGATTTGGATTACAATTTTATTACTAAATATTTATTCAATATATATTTTTTTAAACATTTATAAAACTGAAATATTATAATTTTCTTTCTTGTCGATTAACATCTGAAATTTGTACAATAAACAATGAGTAAATAATGAAATATAACAATAAATAGTTGATAAATTCAATAGCAAAAGTAAGTCAAAAAAATTTGACCAAAATCTTTCCTGATTTTCTAAAATAATATAGTACTAATAATAAAATAATTTTTCTAAACAAGTATAAATAGATATCGGTTTTAGTAAAACAAATAAATTCATTGGATTTATAGTAAAACAAATAAATTCATTGGATTTATAGTAAAACAAATTTATTGGAGTTCTATATTAATAATAGCCGAACAATATGATAAGCATGCAGAGGCGATTTTACGGGGGAGGGGGGAGAGAGGAGTGATACACCCCCTCCCCCGTTTTTAGTTTTAAGGACCTTTTTTTTTATTTTATTTTACAAAGCCAGCCGGTACTTTTTATGGATTTACCCCCTCCCCTCATTTTATTAGTAGAATCGCCTCTGGCCGCATGATGCGTTTGTTTTTATAAATGATTCTATAAAGTTGGTATTAAATTACTCATAGAATTTACTTTGTTCCTTTAATTCGATCCGGAAAAAATCAATAATCAAAAAATTAAATGTTGAAAAAAAAACTTTACAATATATATTGTCAAATAACTATATCTATACACAATATGTTCATATAGGACAGATTACTTGATACGTTAAGGAAAAGGGTGTTTTAAAAAGGGCGTTTAAGTTTTTTAAAAGGTGAGTTCAACTGTATTTCTTGACTTTTAAACAAATTGTTTGTTTTAAAAATAGTTTTGAGTTAAGTTGTCTTTTTAGTTCTTTTTTATGTACACACATACATGTGTGTGTTTATATATATATATATATATATATATATATATATATATATATATATATATATATATATATATATATATATATATATATATATATATATATATATATATATATATATATATATATATATATATATATGTTTTAGAGTATTATAAGTGTTAAAAGCATTTTCATTCATGTTTTATTTTTTTTAAGAAACCTTTAACACGTATTGATATCGAATCTAAAAGTTGCGATTTTAGTTTTGCTATTTACACCTCTGTTTTTCATACTCTTAAAGATAATTTTTTTTCTCTTCTATTTTAGATCTTTTTTTTTTCACACCACAGCATACTAAAGGACAATCAGCCGAACAATGTGACATGCATATTGGGCGGCAGGCTCCATCTGTCCTTGTATTTTTGGAGCTTCGCGTATGTGGGTGTGAACTCGATTTCAATGTTCTTGAAAATGGAGCAATAAATGGTGACTGCTGTGCTGGTTGGGAAAACGAACGTGGTTCAAAACTTTTTAAATATGATTGCGACTGGTGAGACTGTGCGTCTGGAATAGAAGAAATAGACGACACCGTTGAGCCTGGGTAGTAATATAAATCTTTTTGATCGCTATTTACATGAGTCGTTGTTGCTTGTGAAATACTTGTCACTGATGGAGCAAACTGCTGATACGGTTGAAAAGCAGGTTCTACATCTTTTTTGGGTTGCACTAACTCTGAATTTGAAGCACTATTTTTCGTTATACAACAGACTTCAGGACAAAAAGATAAGCAGTCGGATGAACAGATTGGTGGACACATATCTGCAATTGATAACGTTGGTGCTGCTGAGCTTTTTTGCTTTTTATGATGCACAGAGCTTTTTTTGCAGCATTGTCGGGAGCAAGTTGGTGAGCATGTCATTGCGCAAGCTGTATTGCAGTTAGAGTATGAAGGTGGAGCCGAGTACACTGTTGCCGAATTAGGGGCAGGTTTAGAGTTATATGTGGATGAATATGGCGTGTAGGAGGATGAAACAGGTTGAGGGTTTTGTGAATAAGAATATGTTAATGAAGGTAAAGGGAGAGACAGAGTTGGGGGTGGAGGTGGAGGTGGGGGTGGAGGTGGGGGAGGAGGAGGGGGTGGAGGAGGAGGTGGAGGGGGTGGAGGTGGAGGCGGCGGTGGAGGTGGAGGTGGTGGAGGTGAATAAGTTAGAATTTGTGCAGCAGGGTGCTGAACTATAACAGGTGTAGACGGAAGTGCCAGTTGAATATACTTATTATTAAAACAACACGCTACTGGACAAGATTCTTGACACGTGGCTGGCAAACAACTTGCAGGACACAAACTTGTGTCATAATGCGATGGTACAGGAACCGATGGTCCATTTTCTAAGTAAAAGACTTCAGTGTTAATATCTTTCTATTAAACATAATAACTTAGACATTGACAAATCAAGTGTAAAAAATTTTATCACCAAATATATTTTATTATTATTATTACTATTATATATATATATATATATATATATATATATATATATATATATATATATATATATATATATATATATATATATATATATATATATATATATATATATATATATATATATATATATATATATATATGTATATATATATATATATATATATATATATATATATAAATATATATATATATACATATATATATACATACATATATATATATATATATATATATATATATATATATATATATATATATATATATATATATATATATATATATATATATATATATATATATATATATAAACAGTATTTAAAAAATATATATAAACAGTATTTAAAAATAACTATTTAACCCACTTGTACAATGATAGCCATCACCTGACCATCCATCATTGCAATGACACACTCCATTTAGACATGTGGCATGTGAACTGCAATGATCACAAATAACTAAGAGGTTAAAATATAAAATTAGATTGTAAAAAAATAACATATAGCTCTTGATGTATATAAAAAAATTTTCAAAGGATTGCAGCTTATTGAGTTTTAGAATAGAAGCAGTTGTAAGTTGTAACTATAAGTATCCAAAAAAAAAAAAAAAAAAACGAATAATTTTGTGATAATAAAACATAAACACATAAACAAATACACACATATTTATACATAGAATTTGCAGCCATACAATTTTAAGGCCTCTTTGATTACAAAGTATTTTAAACAAAATAGTTTCTGGATTTCAAAATACCAAATACCAAAACAGCATCTCAACCACTAGAAATTGTATCACCAGTAACTACACCATCTTAACAACAGCCTTCTGAATCTGTATCAACAACATATAGTATTAATATACACTATAAAGGATCAGTTCTAAACACTCAACTTGCCTGGAGCTAAATTTCAATATTTTTGTAACCACAGCTATTAAGAGAGGTTAAAAAGTTACAATCAAAAAAAGTTTGCACTATGCAAAACTGCTGCAGTTCTATTTTGTGACTTTTTTATTTTGAATTGTTACAACGTAATGACACACACATAAATATAGAAGTTCCAAGATTCAAAGGGAAGTGTCTCAATAAACTTTAAAAACTCTAAATTCAAAAGCACCAATACAAGCTGAAAAATAACATAAGCGTAATTTAATATCGAAATCGTAAGTGCGTAAAGTCAAAATACTAAATAAAAAGTAAGTAAAAATAAAAAGTAAAAATTCAAAATGCTTAATTTCATTTTGTCAAACATGCATAACAAAGCATTATGTAGAAGGCACCGAGTTTAATACACCAAAAAGTGTCGCACAAATTACAACTCAACGCAACCTTCAGAACCTTTTTCAATATCATCTCAAAATTAATACAATTTTTTGTAATAATTGGTTGTTTTTTTAATTGTTATTATTGAGTATTCTTTAAATTATCCATCAATTCGTATATTTCATTCTCTCCAAATGTGAGAGTAAACTGAAATAATTTTTTTTAATTTAAAAGAAATTTGATTTGTTTTTTTAAAATTTAAAAACAGATTAAAAATCTCTAAAACTTAAAGAAAAATTTTTTAAAACTCTTTTATTTGTTTATTTGTTACATTTTATTCTTATTATATTATTATTTTGGTTTATTTTTAGTTTAAATCAATTTAAAAAAAAGGAAAAGTTTCTGCAACATTTTTTTTAAACTACTTTATTTAGTAAATTTGTAAAGACATACCTTTAGTACATTCGTAACCATCTCCAAAGTATCCTGTTTTGCACCTACAACGACCGTGAGAACAAGTTGCGTGGAGATCGCACTCAGCGCAAATATCCTCTTAAATAAATAAATAATCAATATATTTTTACGCGCTAAAAATTTAGGAATGTCAACCACCTACACTATAAGCAACATTTGTTTTATACATTTGATAAATTTGATCATATAAGACTTTTGCAAAAGCATAGTAAAAGTTGAACTTGGTAATAGGAGACTTTTGCAAAAGCAAAGCAAAAGTTGAATTTGTAAAATTTTAAGATGTATGAATTATAACAGGATTTTAAGATTTATTGGATTAAAACACAAAAATTTGAAAAATAATTGTTTAATCAATTTTTTACCCTGGCAATGTGAACCGTCATAACCCACAGAACATATACATTTGTAATTTCTTCCCATGTCAAAATCATGACATGTTCCACCATTTTGACAGGGGTTTGGGTGACAAGGATTAGTATTAATTAAAAAGGTTGGTGCTGATGGTGCAACAAATGGCTGAGGAACTCCTGGTGAAAGCACAGTTATCGGTGTTGTTGTTGAAATTGGCAATGGTGGAGATAAGACTGCTAAAAACCAAAAATAAAATGTTTTATTGTTTAACTCCCAAATAATATAAAAAGAGATTGTTACATACCAATATTCAAAATAACATTGTCTTTATCCAACATTAGTTCTTACCTTTCTGTTCCTCCTCACAATACTTTCCAGTGTATGGCTTAGCACACTTGCAAGTAAAACTGTCTCCTTCATTAATACAAGTACCTGCATTATGGCATGGGTTTGGAACACACGGATCAAAAGCTGTAATTGGAAAATAGATTTTAAGACATGTATACTCTGTTTATGTCTTTAGACTGAAAAAGTAACTTTAGTTTAAATAAATATAATTTAATATAAACATATTCTCTAAAAAGCTGTTTACAAAATCTTTTTTTTTTTAAATTCATTTATATATTTGTATGTATATATTTTTTAAATACTTGTGTATATATTTTTGTATCTATATATTTTTTAAATTCTATAACTAACAAATGAGCATCCATTACATTTGTATCATAAAAAACGTAGTATACCTTTTTCTTCTTTTTCTTGACATAGTCTGCCTTTCCATCCTACTCTGCAGATGCATTTATAGTTACCAGTAGATTCATCAATACAGGTAGCTCCATTTAAGCATGGATCTGGTGTGCAATGAGAGACAACTTTTTTTTCTTCAGCAGGAGGAGTTGCTGGTGCTGGTTGAATTGAGGATACTGATATATGCACTATATATACATACATACATATATATATATATATATATATATATATATATATATATATATATATATATATATATATATATATATATATATATATATATATATATATATATATATATATATATATATAGAGAGAGAGAGAGAGAGAGAGAGAGAGAGAATTACCATAAGAAGGTTTGCAGTCTCCATGATGACCGCTTCCAACATATCCTGATTTGCAATGACAAAAACCTTCTTCACAGTATGCAAAAGGATCACAGCTGGAACAGCTATCAACTGGAATAAAAAGTTTTTATTAAACCAAAAAGTGTTTAATCATATAAAGACAACAACAAGCAAGAACAACAAGCAACTATAAATTTCTAATTGACTCCTCCAAAAAATAAAATTTTTGAAATCTTAAATTTTGAAATTTTTTTCTTCATTTTTAATAAGATCATTATTTTTATTTTTATTACTTTTTTTTGTTTTTATATATTTGTTTTTTATTTAAAAGGTTTATATTTTAAAATTTAAACTATTTTTAACAGAAAGCACATTAATATCAGTTTTTATAAATATTTCTTCAATAAATGTTTTATTACAATTATGAAAAAAAATTACAAATCTTACCTTCACAGTATTGGCCTTTGTACTGAACAGAGCATATACATTGAAAGTTTGTTCCTTCTTCTGAACATCTTCCACTATTCATGCATGGATCCGGATTACAAGGGCTATGGTCTAAAAGATAACAGACTTTACTATAATATTTCATATATATATAATATAGGCTAAGATACATGCTATACATGTAGCGTTGTGGTTAAAAAGTTCAAGGAGGTTGACCCTTCTTGTTAAAATTTTATTATTGCCTTCGAAAGAATAAGGTTCAAATAAAAAAGTTATTGTTATTTCATAAGTATAATTCAATTAATTTTTATTTTGAAAAATTCATTGTTTTTTTCAGTAAAATGTATACATAATTGTAATTAATTTATATAATTACAATAAATTTGAGCATGAATAGAGTAGACTTTATGAAAACTTAACATCAATATCATGTATACATATGTAGGGTACTTTTGGTAAGTTTTTTATTAAAATATTTCAGCAGTTGTTGAATACATTTAACAAAAACGTAAAATAACAATATCAGTTATTGTGAACATTGAGTTTAAAAACTAATTCAAAGGAAGAATTAAAATCTTATTGTTAAACTTCTGCACATTTTATTAGTAGTGTCGTCCCCATGAAAAATATAATTCATGAAAAGAAAAAAAGCTGTAACATCAATAATTTTCAGAAATACATTAATCATTACTGACGTCATTCATTTATTTTTCTATTGTTACAAAAAAAAAAAAATGCTAAAAACATCAAATAAAATTAACTTCACTTTATTCAAAAGCAGTATTCTAGTCTCGGTAACACTAAAATTTATCACCCAATTAAAATTTATCATAAACTTATTAAGCATATAAAATTATCTTGAATTTATCAGCCAATCTAAATGCAAAAACTATTTTTGATTATCTGTTAATATTTGGGTCAATCCTAACTTATTAGCAAAGATTTTGAAAATATCGATTTCGAAAACCTCTATTTTGAAAAATATAATAAAGCTTTATGTACTCTACATGTTTTTATTTTTTTTTATTTTTATTTGAATTTTATGCCATATTATGCTCTCATAACTAAAGATATTGTTGACTTATAGCAATAAAAAATCACAACACGAATAGTCATAAAAACTAATCCAAAGTAAGGTCTGTTGTTGACCAACATTTCTGCGTACCAAAGTACTATTCAAACGTTAAGTAGGCAGTGGCCAAATTTGAACTCCTATGACTCTACAGTACAGCGTTTTAACATTTTGTTTGACGCTCTAGCCAATATCAATATTTGGAAGGGATGGGAGGTTAGTTTTAGTATTTTTATTTGGAAGCATAAGACATTATGATAATGATCACACAAAACTAATAATTTATCACAATGAAATTAAATTAAATAGAACTAAGATTCAATTTATCAATGAAGATTAATGGAACTGGGCAAGATTTTTAAGAATGGTTTGTAAAAAAATATTTTTCTTGATAAACCAAAATTTTATTAAAAAATGTTTTTTTTTTTTTTTAAAATTAAAAAAAGGTAAATAAAGTTACGAACATTTTAACTCTAACAATTAACAAAGGTATTGTTTAAAGGAAATACGTATATATTTCTGAAAAGACCGCTTGATTGATATATTATCATCCATTTATGATATTTGCCTAAACCAGTGAATAAAATATTCACATCAACAAGCTTGTTTTAACATGTTGACAATATCAATTTGGTATTTAATTATTAATTATTCATAAATATTTTCAGCATAAATGCTTGTAAGATATTTTTTGTTAACATATAACTCCACCTTTTTAAGATAAATTAAAAATACAAAAGTTCTAAATGAAAAGCGTAAGATGTAATTAAGAACACGATAGCTGTAATTTAGAAATGTAAGATGTAAAGTTGTAGATAAGAAAACGTATGATGTTGAGAATATGATAGTTGTAATTAAAAAAGGCTACTCAACAAAGCATTTCTGATTTTGTAGCCTAAATTTACTTTTTATTTTTAGCCTAAGCTGGATCCGCCTTTTGCTAAGCTAGCCAAATGTGTGGGTTTTCAATAAATAATAAAATATTATCATAAAAAATAAAAAATTCATAAAAAAGACTTTTACAATGTGGCAGTTACTGAAAAAACTTCATCGTGTGTTTACAGTTATTCAGATGAATAACAAATAAACTATAAAGTTTTTTTTTACAAAAAAGTATAAATTTAAACTTCACTTCAAAAATTTTTTCACAAAAATTTTTTCACAAAAAATTATAAATTTAAACTTCATAAACATTCATCAAAACAAGCAATTTCATTAAAAATCACTGAAATGTTCAGTAAAACCCGATTTGAAAGTCATTCAAAACTAATTTTGTTGCAAGCCCAGGAAAAAAAGTTCTATAGAATTTCTATAAACTTTTGAAACATAAGGCCTATAGAAATTCAATAGAATTCTTTAGAATATCTGTTAATTTCTATAGAAATTCCTATAGAACTTTTTTTTCTACTTTTTTTTCTATAGAAAAATTGGTTTTACAGCAATTTCTTTAGAAATTAAAATACGTTCTATAGAAATTTTGTATAAATGCTATAGAATTTCTATAGGCCATATTTTTCAAAAGTTTATAGAAATTCTAAAGAAATTTTTTTCCTGGAAGTATTTTCATTATTCTTTACTTTCTTGTCTGGCGCGTCTTTGCGTTTTTCTACAAATAAGGTTAAAATTTGTGTCATCCAACCAGATTATCTGACGACCATATGATATGTTCGTTGTTGTTTCTAACATAATCAGCTTTTTTTTTTGATTATTTTTGTCACTGTTTATTTTAGAAGGCTAAATGTGCACTTATTTTTTGAAAAAAAAAATGCCTTTAAGGTAACTTGCGATTGTTGTTGTGCTAACACTTGTAATTAATTGTTGTTCTTGGTTTTGATAGCAACCAATGTCGTTTGACAACCATTTTCAACTTATGATAACGTTTCTTCAATTTGATCTTTGGTCAATATTTTTAACTTAAAACCAATTTTTCCTAAGAAACTTGAATTTCCTTTGCAAACCCAATTGTATGCTGTCTTAAACTTGACACCTTAAGTTTGCGCAGGAGTTACTCAATCGTCATTTCACACACATTCAACTTCTCTTCTCTGTCACTTTCTTATAGTTACGATAAAACGTATTCTTTTAACTTTGTTTGATTGTATGAATTTTATGCCGACAAAATTGACAAGTGGGATCTGGTGGTTCCAGAAGTGGATGTAAACAAATTCGTTAAAATAAATGTTGACCCAAATTTAACAAGATAACAGAAATTTTTTTGGGTCGAAATTTATTGGGATTTATTGCAACAATCTTTCAATTTAATTTATTAATACTGGTGCATACAAATGCTAAAATTGGTGATATTTAACTTAATTAAACTCATGTCCTAGAAGACCTTTTATAACAACCTGTTGTTATAAAAAATCTTACATCATGCATTTCCAGTTACAATTTTTGTATTCTGAATTAAATATTATGATTTCTTAACCAAATGTTGTGTTTCTTAATTATATTTTACGATTTCTAAATTACATGTTGTGTTTTTCAACTATATATCGATGGTTAAGAGCACAAACGGAATACGTCCACTAACCATTGTTTTGAGAAAACTGAATTTGAAAGTTTGAAAACATACAATAATTCATGATATTTATTTATTTTCATGATTTTTAACCAAATGCATTTCTCAATTAATTCTGTCTTGTTTTTTACTATTTTATTTTCATTTCTTTCACATACTTTAATACCTAATTTGTTTACCTAATGTTTAATCTTAGACATATTCCCTTTGTGCTCTTAACCATCGGTATTACGGCTTCTTAGTTACAACTTTCATGTTCTCAATTACATCTTGAAAAAGTGTAATCTATGTCAAACTTAAAGATTAGTCAGTTAAATAAAGTCGGCTACCGGTTATTTACCCAATTAGTCATTTTCAGTCATTTGAATTAATTAAGTTATTCAACATATGTAAGTCAAACTAAATGTTAAGTCAACTAATTTTAGTTGAAATAAAAAAGCAAAGTTAACTTTTTTGTCAAACTAAAATAATTAAAAAATCAAAGTTAACTTTTTTGTTAAATTAAAAAAGCAAAATAAACAAAGTCAGCTAATTTTAGTCGAATGAAAAAGTTAGACTAACTTTTTAAAAAGTTAGACTAATTTTAGTCGAACTAAAAAATTAATCGACTTATTTCAGTAACGGTGTTTTTAGTTAACTTAGTAACTAATTTTAATTTCGGTCACTAATTTTGTGATACGAAAAAGTTTTCGGAGTACTTTACATTTTGGTTTTCGTGAGTTTTTGGATAATATGATTTAAATTTATCTTATCTTCAAATTTACAATAAAACTAAAGATATAGACAGCATAAGTTTTTCTCTTGAGCTTAAAATATAAATGAAAGAATAAAAAATACAAATAAAAGAATAAAAAATATAAACAAAAAAATAAAAAGTATAAATAAAAGAATAAAATATAAATAAAAGAATAAAAAATTTTAAAAAATTGATTTACAAGGTTTTCATATTTTAGCGATAAAGTATTATTAAAACTATTATTTATTATTATTATTATTATTAATAATATTATTTGTAATATTTTTTGAAGTTGTTTTATAATATTGTAGATTTCTAATAAAATCACATTAAAATTTGTAATTGTGAACAGGAAAGAACAGTTTTTTTCTAACTAGAGAAACGCACATAAAAAAAATGTTCTTGATATTTGCCATTTGCCAAATATACTTCAAAATTTCCCAACTCAAATGCTAAATTGTTAAATGTGCAAACTAAAACGGCTTTAGGGGAGGGGGCGAGACACCCTCTAGATTCCCCTTTCGGGACGGCTCTGATTGTGAAAAATAGTTGGATTTAGATCTAAACTTTATACATAATTATATACTAGAATATTTTAGGAAAAAAAGTTCAAAACTTATAAGTTGTCCGAAATAACAAACCTTCACAAGTTTTTCCTAAAAAATTTGGAAGGCAATGGCATTGATAATCACCATGTCCAATGTAGTTGCAATGACCATTGTTCTTGCAAGGATTGAAAAAGCAAGGGTTCATTTCTAAATAAAAACATATTTATATATATATATATATATATATATATATATATATATATATATATATATATATATATATATATATAAATATATATATATATATATATATATATGTATATATATATATATATATATATATATATATATATATATATATATATATATATATATATATATATATATATATATATATATATATATATATATATAATTTTGAATGTATTCTATAAAATAGAGTGCTCATGGATTGATTTATATAGAGAGTATATTGTTGGTATACAAGAGAAAGTCCATTTTTTGGCAGTATGGATTTATTTATACCACTATTTAATATTTTAAATTTTCTATTGTTTGATATACTACACAAATTTAATAAATTAATTATTGTATTGAAGTTTATTCTCCTCGGGCCCTGCAGAGTTTTTAATAATGTTACAGTAGTTGATAATTTACAAGTTGGTCTACTAAAATCCTACTAATTAAGTATTGAAAACGAAAAGTGAAAAAACGAAAATGTGAAAAATTAAAAATTCGAAGAAATTAAAACAAAAAAACAAGTAAAAAATTAAAAAAATATCTGGGCATTTCAGTTTATAAAGATGTTCTTATTTATTTTTATATTTATTTTATTTTCTTTGCTCCAGATATGTCTGCATTCAAAGAGGAAACAATCATTACTATTACTTAGTAATGAAATTTGGAATTCCTCCGACAAAATTCTTTTAATTTTGCATTGGAATTCCAACATGAGCGTCTCTCTAGGGTTTTTCCGTCCCTCTAGGGTTTTGCCCACATTTGCCGTTCGTGGAACAACCTCATTCTGTTACAATATATATTTTATATAATAATTTGTTAGTTATTAGTTTTCTAATATAAAATTTATTTACAAAAGTTGATAAAGAGAAAAGAAGTTATTTGAAAGAGTTTTTAAGAGGTGGATGGTATGGTTAGATTTTGTGAATAAGAGCTAAAGTGTTTAGAGGTTTATTTTTTTTCACATTTAAACATCATGTGCGACAGGTTTTCCGTTTGCTTGATGCATTGCGGGCAGCGATCGTTTGTTATGTAGCCTTGTTTTTTGAAAACTAAATTGGTGGGTAGTGCAAAGTGTATTAACTTGTATCTTATTTCATTGGCTTTGTTATTGGTGTTGTTTTTGTGTATGGATATAAATAATTGGGCCCATTCTTTTGTTGAGATATTTTTCATACTGGTGAAATAGTCTCTCGATTTATAAAAATTTTTAGGTCTAATTTTGTCACTGTTGCTTAAGGAAGTGTTGTAAATTGCTTTGGGAGTTTAGTCAAGGAATCGTAGTGGACAGGTATTTTTAGAGTTTATACATAATGACGCTTTGTTGTAGTCGCAGCTTTGACTTTGTCTGTTTATAATATTTTTCCATTCGGGTGGTAGTGACTTTATTATGTTTGTTAAGAGGCGTTGTTTTATGCCAATAACTTCGCTTTCCAGAAAGCCATGGACGAATACTTATGATATGTCGCCTAGCTTAATAATGTTATTATTTATGGATTCTTGTGTTGGTTTCATAGTTTGATTTTTGTTGTGTATGAATGGGTTAAAAAATCAATAATTAATGTAAAAATCAATTATTAATGAATTAAATCATTATTAATTATTAATGAGTTAAACCAAAAATCAATTATTAATGACTTATTAAGATTCAAAAATTTATTTGTTTTATATCTAAAAATGATATTTTTGGACTTGTGTATTTCCCTTGTATACCGACGATATAAAAGATAAAGTTAACTGGATCGAATTTAAGTATAAAGTTGTTTACAAGATAAACTGGATCAGATTTGCAAACTTAGTCTAAAAGACCACTACTTTGTAGCAATTATTTTTAAAAATTTAAAACTTTTAGACAATTTTTTAAATTTGAAACGCTTATAAAAATTTGTCCTTTATTTTTATCTTTGTTTTCTTTAATTTTAATTATTGCTGGATTATTCATGTATCAAAAACATTTCTTAGATGAGGCCGGATGAATAAAAAAAAGCAATTGCTTTTACTCAGTAATTGGTCAACATTACGTGAATAAAAACGTGACAAATTTCGATTAAACTTTTATTGACGTAAAGCTGAACAGTTACTCAGCGTTTTTGGAGTAAATTGCTAAGCTTTAAATAAATAAAAATTTGAGCCAGTTTGCTAAAATTTTTATTCATGTAAAGGTGAACAATAACTCCTAAAAGCTCCTTTTCGTTTTGAGGATTTTTTTTTTTATTCTTCTTTTTTTTTTTAAGAAGCCAGTTGGTACTTTTTAGGGATTCACTTCCCCTCCCTCATTTTATTCGTAGAATTGCCTCTCTCTCTCTCTCTCTCTCTCTCTCTATATATATATATATATATATATATATATATATATATATATATATATATATATATATATATATATATATATATATATATAAATATATATATATATATATATATATATATATATATATATATATATATATATATATATATATATATATATATATATGTATATATATATATATATATATATATATATATATATATATATATATATATAGAGAGAGAGAGAGAGAGAGACATATATATATATATATATATATATATATATATATATATATATATATATATATATATATATATATATATATATATCAACTTATCAACTCGTTTCTCTGCGCAGCGGCCTTGTTCGTCAAGGTTCCTGTTTCGGAGTTATAGAGTTGAGAGAGGGTTATAGCCACAAAATAAGTAGCCTCCTCGTCTGTAGTGGCCTTCTCGGCCTTGAGGAGGTGAAGTAAAATAAAAAAAAAAAAATATATATATATATATATATATATATTTTCATTATAATTTGTTTGAGCAGCAACCATTGTAGCGAAGAGTAAGATATGCAGCTGTACAAAAATGGGAGATCAGAAGTAGAAAATTGTGAAAATGACTATCCGGGTACTCGTCAAACGAACGGGAAGGTACTGAATATCGTTATAAAAATATTATTTTAGTATATAAAAATATAAAAAATTATAAACCAATGATGTCACTTATTTTGAAATGTTCATTTTCTAAATTTTATTTTACTTAAAGTGTCCAAGTTACACAAGTCCAAATTACGGTTTACAAATACTAGCGTTTCCACTGTTTCGGGTGCAAAAGATGCACGCTGTTGATTGACTTCATGACCATCATCCAAGAAAGTGTATTCTGATGGTGTTGAGTTGCATGTATGCACATGTTCTTGTATGCTAAAATAGCATAATTATATCTTCCATCTTTCAGGTTTTGAAATTTTTTTGTCTGAGAGACAAATTAATAAACAAGTCGGATAAGTTTCTGTTTTACGTAAAGGAAAACATTATAAATCGAAGTAATAAAAATAATCATTGATTAATAAATTAGTACTGAATCAGAAATTCAGGTAACTTTTCATAAGTTAAATTAAATGTTTTCATAAATTCTAATGGTGATAAAGAAATCGTAAGTATTAAAGTAAGTATAAATATTTTTAACAACAATATTTTCAAAATCTTTTTTCATATACCAAATAAATATTACGATTAATGATATTAAAGTATGAAAATAAAAAAAATGAATTAAACTTATAAAATAACGGTTGCCCGTCATTTGAAAATGCCGATGGGTACCCGTTGACAGCCTTAATCAGGAGAGATCAATATGTAAAGGAAAACGAGGCAAGTTGGCAAATGGAGTAGGATAGATTTATGATGGTTAGGATTATTTCTAACGTGTGGTATTCAACGGGTCTAACTTTTTTAGGGAAATTTTTACGCCACGCGTGTTTAATTTGTGTTACTTTATATAGTTTAGTTGATAGTTTCTAAAATTTCATAATCTAGGAGAAAAAAAAAAAATAGTAAGTCATCTTACTCCGATCACGTAATTGGATCAAAAAATTTATAAAATTTTGTTTTTTTAACTGGTTCATGGGTATAGAACCTGATATTTTTTTTGCTCTGAAATTTTGTAGGATTCTATTAAATTTTTCAACTAGAGTGTTTGGTTAAAAGTTTTTTCAAATTAAACTCCTGTTTATTTTGAGTAAAACTAAAAATTGTTTTCAGAGATTTTTGGGCTATTCCAAAAGAGAATTACTTTATATATTTTACATTTATTTAAAATATATAAAGTATTACTTTATATACATATTACATTATCATTTTACACATCCCTAACATATTACAGGTTTTATTCAATATCCTCTTTCTCAACTAATTTTAAGCAAGAGCATTTTCAGGTGGAAAACATAGGAGATGATTTTTACAAAATTAGTTTACTTTTTTATTTGAATATGATTGGTTTACAATGTTTTAATGGCGTCACCTTTCCTATTTTAGTTATAAAAATCACAGTGGTTTCAATTGAAAATTTGATTGACATGGTTTTTTCTAAACAATATCTAATGATGACAAACCTAATAAAGAAAACAGCCAGAGTTAAATAAGTCAATATCTATGTGTTTTTGTTTTTCTATCATACGATGTTTTTAAACGTGTAAGCGCAATCCTTTATATACAAAAATTTTAATATCATAATTAACAATTTTGCAAAAACATGAAAAGATATATTTTTATGCAGGTCATGAAACTTATTGCGTTTTTACTCTCGGACACTTTTAATATTTTATACGTGGTAGTTACAAGTGTTACTTTTCAAAGCATTGTACTTTATTCATGTCGTGGTTTTATAAACCTGATTTTATCATTAACTTATCGCTTAATGAGCTCTTCTAAATCGAGTCCTGTACTTAAAGTGGTCGAGAAAGAAATAAAACATGTACCAAAATCGAAAATAATGACTTCAAAAGAACTTGGACCGACAAAAAGAGTCATTTTAGAATCAGCGAAAGAAGTGAAAATTGTCAGTATGAGTCTATTAACAGTTATATTAACTAAGGTCATCAAGTATACAACAGAATTGCGTAGATCGCTTATGGGATCAATTGCAGAAAGTCGAAACGTGTCACAATAAACTATTGGAATTAATTTTTACAAAATTTGATTAGAAAAATGATTTTTTTACAAAGTTGTACTATTATAAAAATTTAATCATAGTGCTTACATATTTCCTCGCAAAGAGTTCTGCGGAAAGCACGGTAAATGTCCACGGTTATAGTTACGCCGCTAAACATTAAAAAAACACTGCTTAATTTTTATAGATTTTCGGTTAGTGTTATTTTTACATCAAGTTTTTAAACAACACTTTCCAGTTGGTTAACATTCAATAAGAAAATGTTGAAAAGAGTTAAAAACTGAATCTATTTTTATTATTCATACTTTTTTTTTTTCTAAAAAAATAAAACTTTAAAAAAAAAAAATTAAACTTTATTCAGACGCATTTTTTTCAGGCTCAAAATATGTTTTGAGGAAATACTAAAAAATATTAATTATGACCCTGTTTAAGCAATTTCGCATATTTTTCTCAATCAACGGGACGTTTTTGAATATATTTTGTTCATATGTTCTAATCGTAGTCAATTTAAAAAAAAATATTATTGTATTAATGAAAATTAGCGAAAAAATTTTTTGTGCATTAAATATTTCCGAACTTAACACCCATTTTGTTTTAAAGTTTATGTAAATAACAAAATATGGACTGTCACACAAAACCTTTAAAAGTTATTTTAAAGAAATACATCATAAATATGCTACAATCTTTTCTCGCTGTTACAATCTTTTCTCGCTGCTACAATCTTTTCTCGCTTTGTTGCATGAAGATCTTGTTCAAAACTGAGCTCTTATGCAATTCAGAATCGCGGGATATTTTTGCTTACCAAAACGCGGACCATTTTTCAAATCAAAATGCAGACCATTTTTAAGAAACCATTTTTGTAAATGGTTTTTTAAAAATGATCACAAAACAGTGTTAAAAACACACAGGATTTTGATTAATTTTATTTCTGGATTTTTAATGAAATTTAAGTGTTTCTTTTAAAATAGATCGAAAAAATAAAATCAGTTAAAAGCTAAAAAAAAAATTAATTATTTTAATTTGCACTGTAAATTAAATTAATTAAAATAGGGGTTGTCCATAAATTACGTCACGCAAATTTTGACCATTTTCGAACCCCCCTCTCGTCACAAAATCGTTACACTTAAGAAGCGAGTTTTGAATGAGTCGTCACAAAACCACCAACCCCCTTCCCCCCGTTATAGCGTGACGTAATTTATGGACGACCCCTTACTCTGTAAATATAAAAAATATATATTGAATATAATCATTATCACATTTTCCTAACTTTTTTGTTTGTTTTTTTCTTCATCTAATTATTTATGGCATTAATTATTGTTTGATATGATTTTATTTTTAAAATTTTTTTAAATATCAATTTAATTCTTATTTTGTAATATATATTCTTGGAGAATTTTTTTTTAAAAAAAGCTTTAAATTGTCACACGACGCTCGGCAATGTGACAATTTATAGTGGATTGTAATTGTATTTAAAAGTTATCAAAAAAAATAAAAAATTTAATTTCCCTAATGTATTGAAAAAAAAAGTATTCATAATGCAAAAAGTTTATTTAATAGCTTTCACTGGCGCAGCAAAATGTGTTCCACTTTCATTGGCATAGCAAAAACAAGAAGACAAAGAATAAGATAAAGAAAAAAAAAAATTATTATAAAAGTTGTAATAGTTATAAAAATAAATATTAATAGTAATAATAGTATTAGTTATAAAAGTATATAGCTCTAATAACAATAACAATAAGAATAATAACATAACCGAAAAGTGAACAGTATTAGATTAATAGAAGAATAAAAATACAGAATATTTAAACAAGTGAGTAGAAAGATATTAGATAACAAGTTGTAGAAAGAAGCTAGATTTATAAACAAATTTTTCTGAAAAATAATTAAAGCGACCTGGTAAATTTTTAAGAAGAACTTTAGTTGAAGTTTGAAGTTTCAATAATGTGTTTCAATAATTTATAATCGAAATAAACAGTGGGACATCTTGGTTCACAGCCATGAGAAAGAGAGAGGAATGTACATAATGCCATATTGCAAATTTAAAGAAATATTAGCAGACAGTTCATTTCGAAACTGGTGACAAATAGAAGTTAAGATAATAAATAATTTCTATTTATTTTAAATAAATATAAAGTAAAAAGATGAAAATAATTTTTATTTAATAATATTACAAAGTATTAAGTTGAAATTTATTTTAATGTTGACAAAAAACATTTTTAAGAATTTTTTAAAAATGCATGACATTCTTTTTCTTCTGAAAATCAATAGTGGCAAAGCAGAGCATTTTCTCATTTTTTTTATGACCGCTGACCGCTGCCTTATAATATTAAAACTTATAGTAAAAACATTAAAAACTAAATTTTCATTAAAAAATTAATCATTAATTAACGATGAATAGTTATAAATTGCTATGCTAACCTTCGCATTTGTTTCCAGTGTAACCTGATGCACACGTGCATTCAAATCCAATATCTTTATCTAAACACGAACCTCCATTCTCGCATGGGTTCGGATGACAGCGTGAGGCTACTATAACCGAAGGTTATACTATTAATATATTAATTTAAAAGTAGAAATAAAATCTAGCTAATATATGGAGAGTATTGTGTTGAATATATCTTTTTTTGTTGAGTATGTTCACTAACTTTTTTCGTTGATTCACTCATCTAACTTGTAAACATTGTGTAAATAAAAATTCTTTCTTATTATTAAAAAATAATAAAAAACTGCTTAAACATTTTTTACCTTCGCAAACGCGACCATTTCCTATATAACCAGACAAACAGTTACAGATTCCTTTTATACATTCTGCATTTGGGTCACAACGAGAACATGAGTTATGAGAATCTATTATTAATTAATAAAAAAATTAGTAAAATAAGAAAATTATGTTTTGTAAAAGTGAAAATAATTTTTTCTAAAAAAAAACAAAAAGGTCTTTGTTAAATATGTTTTCTTATATTTTTCAAAGCATTTTTTTTTTAATTTTCCCTTTAAAGATATGAATAAAAACAAGAAAAGTTAAAACTTCGAGATTTTTTCACACTCTTATAAGTAGGGGAAGTTGGGGTACAGTGGATTAAGGGGGACAGTGAATAATTTGCATTTTCTCAAAGATTAGAACTTTGTTCATCTTGATAATGTAATCATTTTATGTGCTCATATATCAGTCATCTTTATTTATAGTTGTTACCACATAATTTTTGACTACCGGTTTGTTATGGAGATCATGGTTGAAATAATTTCAAAAATTGAATTTTTTCATTCGGATTATTAATATTTATGCTTCCTTTTAGTAGTTTAGCTTTTCTTTTAATAATATTCATGTCTCAACAAATTAGACTTGAACTTAATTTGTTATGGGTCACAGTGAATTGGAGTACAGTAAATAGGTTGATTTACTATGCCCAATTAATGATCTTAAAGATTAAACTCATGCATTTTTAACAGACAAATTAAAATGAATTTATTAGTTTTAAGTTATCAATAATAATATATGAACAATTTTGTAATTTTTTAACATTTTAATAATTTTTGTTATCAATGTAATTTTTTTTTTCTTCTCAATTTTCAAAATGTCTATTTTTTCAATTTTATACTAATCTAATTAATAAAAGTATAGTGTAGAGTGTCTTTACTCCATCAGCCTCAAAGTTATTTAGCTATGTCTTTATTCACTATCATTAATTCACGGCTGTGTTCATTTATTCACTGTGACCCAGTACTGGAATACAGTGAATAGCTTAACACAACTCACTTTAAACCTTTCTGTGAGCCGTTAGATAATAAATATTTGGATTTTAGTGATTTATTATCATAAAGGACATATATCTCAATCCTTCTGCCTTGAAAAAAAATAAAATACATTTTTAACTTTTACTCAATTTAAAAAATAAAGAAATCCGATTCACTGTGCCCCAACTTCTCCTATTCTTGAAATAAAAAACTATTTTCGCCATGAAAAAATATTTTAAAAACATGCTTAAATAGAAACTGAAGAGTTTGCTTTCACCTTTTTATTTTCTACTAACAAAATTTACGTTCACATGTAGGTCCAAAAAAAACTTACGTTCACATGTAGGTCCAAAATAATCGTGCGGACAAATGCATTGAAAGTCGTGATTCACATCAATGCATGCTCCAAAATTATTGCAGGGCGAAGAATAACAATGTGAAAACTCTTGGGAATATAAATTGAGGTTATAAAATTTAAAGCAATTTTATAATGTACTTAAAATTATAAAGTACTTTTTTAGAAAAATACCTTGACATTTTTCTCCATGGTAACCAGGTGGACAGCTACATTTGAAACCATATTCAAGATCCAAGCATTTCCCACTATTTTGGCAAGGATCTGGGTCACAGTACCCAAGATGTTCTAAAAGTATGAGTTTTGTTAGTGTTAAAAATTTAAAGATGAAATAAAATTGTTAATAAGTTCGAAGGTCTACCAATTATACCTTTGCATGTGACGCCGGTATACCTTTCAGGACAAGAGCACGAATATCCAGTCAAAGTGCTTGTACATTGTCCTCCATTTTCGCACGGTGAGTGGTGGCAATGATCAATTTCTTTATTAAAAAGAGTTATATTTTAAAAAAAATTAAAAAGTAATTTAAATTCTGTAAAAATTTAAAAATCCTAATTGCAAATACAAGCAATACGTTCCATTAATATCAATATGTAAGAAATAAGAGACAAGTAAATGCGTTACAATTACGATTTTTGTTTGTGATATATTTTTTTATATACATAATTATTAATTTATTATTAGTGCCATAAAAATGAATAATAAAAAAACTAAGTACTCTATTGTTAATTTTTTTTTTATACATTTGTTATTTTTTTTTAAATAATAAATATACAAAAATAAATAAAATACATGACTGAAAACTCTTTCTCCAACCTGAATCATATTCATGCACGTGGATATTAAGATGGTCTGGTGCAGTGTGAACATGAAAACTTCCACTAGGATGTAAACTATGAAGACCTTTTTTAATATGGTGAGTAAGCATGATATCCGTATCAAAATTAGTGTCGTCGTTTTGGCGATTGTATTCTGGTGATGCTTCTCGAATTCCACTCACAATTTCATTCCAGTCTCTTCCGTCTAAATCTGAAATGTTTTGTGAATCAAGATTAACTTCTTTTCCAGGGATTTCAAGGTCATTATTATTGGAATGGATAGTGATATCATGTTCAATTGGATTAATAACTTGATTGCGACCATTATTTTCGGTAACTTCATTTCCGTTTTCAACAAAATCCACACTACTGTTATCATGGTGGCGAGGAGTTATTGTCCTAATTCCACCTCGTTTTAAATCTTCTGTAGAAGTATTTTGAAAATGGCGATGTTTGGAAGAAGTTATTTTATTTAAAATATTTTGATCGTTTCTAATGGCAACGATATTTTTAACTGAGTGGTTACACGATCTGCAGTGTTTCAAGCTGTAGTTTCTTCTTAATTTTTGAAGAATTAAAAAACGCCTTTTAGAAAATGGAATGTATTTTTTATATATAGTGCGATTAGGAAATAAAATGTTTAACGGTAATTTTGATGTTTGATTTAATCCATTAAATAATTGCTTTGTTTGATCCAACGAGAAATAATCTTGATTACTGTCGTCGTCCGTAGTATTTTTATTAGAGTACTTTCTAATATCAAACAAAGATTCGCTTTCGTTAAAAACTCTAAGAGGAAGATCATTGTGATTTTTATTATAAAATAATTTTCCCCTAAACTTGTGTTTTAATAAACATTTTGGAGAAAAAAACTTTGTGCAAAACTTTCCTCTTTTTCTCTGCTTTTTTTGTTTTGGTTCGTCGACCGTTTTCGGTTCGTCAAAACCATTATGATAAATAGGTATTTCAAATTTGTCAAATATTTTGACATTCGATTTAACATCATCCTTAGAAATTCTGACTTGCACGTTTAGTTTATTGATTTCACCTCCTTGCTCTTTTGAATCTTCATTTTCATCAACGTAACTGTTGTTTGAAACAAAATTATCTTCTAACTCACCATTTACAGTAGTAAGAAAATTACCAGTGGAATTTTTTGACTCATTTGGTGAAATACTTCGTCTGTGTGCAGTAACATATCCCAAAATGTGACCATAGTGATAAACTACTGGTTGATTTTGATTGCTTCTTGGTTCTACGTAGCGCGTATTTTTTTTTTCTGTTGTATCAGCATTCCCCCGCCATATTAATAGAACAGTAATGTGTAAGGAAATTAACAAAAACATTTTGTTAATAAAAGAGAACAATGCTTCACGTTCTTTTATTGTTCCTAAACACTTTATATCTTGTTTAACGTGGTTTGTTTATCGCATTTTGCATTTTAGGACTTTTGTGTTTTTATTGCTCATATTTATTTAGTATAGCAAACTTAGCAAGTTGAACTATTATTTAAACCGCCCCTCTATATTCATAGTAATTTTCCTACCTAATTATTCTCAACATATGATAGCTATCCTACTGTGTGAAGTTCGAGCAAAGAGCTGCATAAGGTGAAAATCAATCAACCGTGGTATTCAAATTAAACAGAAAAGTGCTGTTATACAACATAAAATAAATTTTTGTTATTGTTTTTTATTTAGGTTATAAAGTCCAGTCCAGTTTGTAAATAAATTCCAGTTACAGTTAGTAAATAAACATTATTAAAAACGGGGTAAACGGGGATCTACTCTTTATAATAGACCTGATATCCGTAACATCTCCAAAGAAACAAGAAAAACTAATATAAATAAAACTAAAGATATTAGAGTAAAAAAATGATAAAATCTTTCAATTAAAATGAAAAAAGCAAACTTTTTATTATTATTATTATTTATTTATCTATATTTTATACAGAGCTTTGAGCTCTTTTAATTGATATAAAAGTGTAAGTAAATAAAATAAAAAAGATTCTTTTGTTCAAATCTACTTCTATTGATAGTGCAGGCCACTATGTACCTTCTTGTGCACATAGTGTTACAAGCAAACTTTTTGCTGATATAAGATCCTTGTATGGTAAGGATTTGTAAAATGACAGGTATCACTCGATTTTCATTTTGCGTAACAGGTGGTATGACGCAACTGGTCCCCATAGCAACTAAATTTATTTTTAGCAAATTAAATTTTTTTTTACACCAATCGAAGGAGCATAAATCAGGTATTCAAAATAAACTAAAAAACATATGTTGAAATTTTTTAAAAAGATACAGGGGTAAATATGTTTTTATCAAACCGGGGGTAAACGGCTGTTTGTGATTTTTAATAATTTTTAAAAAACTTTCTTGAAGCGGATGTTATGTTTATTTAATTTTTTTTTTTATTATTATTTAAGAAATATTAGTTATTATAAAATTTATATAATTTAAAACAAATTTTAGACAAAAATCTTTTTTTTTTTCGACCTCCGGATTTTTACAACATACCTGTTTTGATGAAATAAAATATTTCATGCTTGACGATTGTATTATTTCGAATGTTTTGGTAATGTTATTTTATTTTTACATAATTCTACCTATAAGAATGCAACAATTCGAATGATTTGTTTTCGTTTTTGGCTTTTAAAAACGTTTCTATACTGTGTTATTGCTGTTTCACATATTAAATATCATTAACAATTGGAGGACGAAGAACGAAAAAAAAAGAAAAGAAAACTTATTTTTGACTTAACTAAAAGCATTGTTTGCCAGGAGGATGATCGTAAAAAAAAGTATTTCTGTTTATTTGATTTAGATATCATTTCCTATATCTACGTAAAAATATAAATCTACGTATTTTTACATCTCTTATCCTTTAAAATACGATTTGGTGCATTTTGGATATGTTCTTTAAATAGTTTTTAAAAGTGTCTCCTAGCAATTACTAAGTTTATTTTCAGATTGTAAAAACCAGTTCGCGCGACGCTTTAGAAAAACTAATGGTATGTTTAAGGCAAAGGTACTCCTACCATGACCCAGAGGCAATAGATTGTTACCTAAATTTAAGAGAAATACCACGCGAGGAACTAGATGAAAAAGGTGTTTATCACTCAGAATGTTACAAATTTTTCACCCACCGAAAAAGTTTGCAACGTTTGCTTGAACAACACAGTATATTTATTGCAAGCAATCCTGAAACTAAACCCATAGAATACATAGATGAATCAGAAGATTCAAGTCAAATTTCAAAAGGATATATGACCAGACTGAGGTTAATTATAAACGTTACTTATAGAAACTTCTACAAAATAACATGCCAAGAATAATTTTTCAAGACCTCCGGGCCGTAGAAAGTCCCAACAGCTTTGCTCTAGCAAATATCAAGCAAAGGCGGTAGTTAACTTTAAAAACAATCCGGATTATTAAACAACAATTTTCGAGGCAACAAAAATAATTCAGAGAGAAATCCTGCAGCAAAGAAAATGGAAGTTTGACGGAAATTTCACTGGTTTTGATACTCCGACGTCATAATTTTCTTTGCAAAGGTGGGTTATACTTGGACCAAAATAAAATGTAGACTCGTGTTATGTTGAAAAAAAAATCCATCAATAGCCGTGCTGATAACATTTCGCAAAATATTGCAAAGACATCAAAAAACATTAAGCAAATCTCACATTACTCAAAAACGGATAATGATTTCAGAGTTGTTACTGAAACACCTTTTTCAGTCGGCCTCGTATTACATATTGATAAAGAAACCCGTAATAAGAAGCTGGTTAACTGCTTGGCATATCTTGGACTTTCTATTTCCAATGATAGTGTCATAAAGATCGAAAATGGTTTAGGAAAACCTGTTATTGAAAACATATCAACAAATCAATGTGCATTTGTACCTCCTAATATTCAAATAGAAATGCCATTGCACTTTGTTATTGATAACATTGACTGTAAGAACGACACTGCTGATGGAATATCTGAATTTTATGGAACCAGATGTGTTGCATTTCGAAATAATTCAAATGCTAAAGGAAAGATGCTCAAGATACAGCATACAAAGTATCTTACATTTGCACATGCATCTGTCTTTATAACGCATAGTTGTGCTATACCAAAAAACACCCAATGAAACCTTTCAAGGTTTTGAGCTTCCACATTCGTTGGTCAATCATTCTTCATTTTGCACCATTGATCGAATTTGGGCTTTTTTAATATGATTAACAAGGAATTTAAATTAACAACATGGGGTGCTGTTAACTCCTTTCATTCGGATGCTCCTACATCTACGGTAAAACAGGGTCTACCGATACATGCAGGTACACCGACTGATTGGAGCAACCTTTTCACTTCATTAAAGCTTGTTTTGGGAATTAACGTTGCCATCACAAGGAGTAAAAAAACAATTGTGACACTTGATGTTCAACTCTATATGATTGGGAGTTAAACAATGGATCTATTGACCCCATAATGACTGATAACCTGCCAGCACCAATAGCACTTATCGAGTTGAGTGTCTGTCATTGTAAAGGAGACTGTAGTAATAAAAGGTGCACATTTTAGAAAAATAAACTTGTCTGTACTGATATGCGCAAGCGTAAAGGGTGTAAAAATAATAATGTAGACGACTAAAAGGAAAACTATGACTATGAATGTAGAGATTTATAAGACGCAATTTAATTTATTAGTATTATTAAAAACCAGCTTGTAAGCACGGTAATTATAACATATATTCCCAAAATTTAGAAGGTTTTTGAGTTTAAGAATGAAATCTTAGAATATTTGTAGCTTTTCATTCAATAAATGACTTTATTCCATTTATATTACAAGGTTAATTGACATAACACTGTCAATTATATATTTTCCGGGGGTCTTTTTTTCTCTTCATTAAACATTCTGAATTGTAAACAATATTTTGGTTTACATATGATATTGCTTATATATTTATAAAATACCAATGTTAATATATAAATTAGCTTAATTATTTCAGTTTTACTTAATTTATGTTTTATTTAGTGGTAATTTTTGTAAATGACCCCCGGTTTAGTAACTTACTTAACGTCCTTTATTTTATGAAGTAAAAATTTTCAACATATACCCGACGGGCATTTGTTTTTAAAAGTTACGTTCTAAATGTATTTTAAATGTCTTTTAAACGTTTTTTGCGTAAGAATGTTTAGAAGACGTTTAAAAGACATTTAAAATACATTTAGAACGTAACTTTTAAAAACAAATGCCCGTCGGGTATTTTTATATGATTTTGAAAGCTTATTTAATGCTCTTTCTAATGATATAAAACATTTTGAAAATAACAATTAAATTTTTTTTTTCTATAGGAGCCTATTACGTCATACCACGTGACACAAAACATAAATATAGTGACACCTGCTACTTTTCAAATCCTTTTCATACAAGAATCTCATATCAACAAAAAGTTTGCTTGTAACACGTATGTGCACACAAAGAGTATTTTTGAAACGTTTTGACCTGCACTATGATTTTTTTAAAGAACTTTTAATTGCAGAAATTAAAAATATTTTTTAATGCAGTTTTCATTAAACTCACGAAAGACAAAATAAATTTTATTTCACTTAGACCAAGGATGTTTCACATTTTAAATAAGAACATCCTTGCTTAAGCCGCCAATAAAAAAAGAAAGCACAACCTACTCTACTCTCACTGACAAACAAAAATAAAAACACTAATAAAAATTGCAAAATAAAATAAATTTAACAACTGCAATAAAAGTTTCACGTTTTTTTTAATTTTAAGCTTTATTATTCGACATAAATCAACATTGGTTAAATAATGACGCATAAAAACTAAGTTAATGAGAGTGGAATTTCTTGTTAGTACGTTTTTTTGTTTGAGTGAAATAAAATCATTCAGTCGTTCGTGAGTTTAATGAAAGTTAGCATTAAGTGATATCTAAATTTCTGTTGTTAAAAGTTTGTATATGCAATAAAAACAATGTTGCTATATATATATGTTATACATGCTATAAAAACTAACTCTTCCATGGTTGACGCGAGATTAAATTTTTAGTTAATGGAAAAAGCGATGATAGCAGCAACCATAATACTATTTGTAGAAAATAGAAAGAGATGCAATGATATGATGGAGATGCAATCCTATAACTATCAATCTTGACAGATAAATTTGGCAGATACATTTACAATATATTTTTGGGTCTTGTCTGGAAGAAAAAGAGCATCGTTAAAAGAACCAGCCCAAATATGATACACAATATTTTATAAAGGGACTTTGTAACTTATAAAGTTAACTTAGCTAATTTTGCAGAGTTAACGAATGGAATTAGGAGTAAGGAAAAAGCGAGTACAATAAATAGACGCAATCTTAGCAAATGCTAACTTCGTAACTGATTATATATAGTTTCCATGAGGAGTCAGATCTGAATGAAAATCCGAAAAGACGTAAAGTAGACAACTCAGTAAGAGTGTTGTCATTCATAAATATAGGAACTTACTTAAAAATGAGTGCGTTAAGTTTAAAACAAATTAATATCATATATATTGTTAGTGCTTCAAAAAAAAAAAGTAATAAATGCAAGTTGCAATACAAGTTAAAATGCAAGTTGAAACGTGACTTACAATGCAAATTAAAATGCAACAAAATATTTTTCAGATTATTTATATAAATTCTTTTCCCCCGTCGTCCAGGCGTCATACGGATTCCAAATAACAAAAGCATTTTGTGATTTAAGTCAATTCAAGATTTAAATTTTTTTTTTTTTAACATAACCATGGTCTTAAGACATTTAGAAGTTGCTTTTTAAGTCCACGCTGATTCAATTAACTTAGCTCCGCGTTGCTCCGCGTTATGACAAAACCGTTAGATTTTCTTGGAGCAATAGAATTACCTGAAACAAAGTTTCAACTAGCTTCAAAGTTTCAGCCAGTTGTCAATTAAAGAATAATTAATTACTAATGAATTATTTTTGAATTATCATAAACGCCCCTTACAATTTTAATGCCCGTTGAGAAAATGAATAATTATAATTTTTTGTTATAATAATTACAAAAAATATATTTTGTTTTTTTATTCAAGTTTTTTTCTTTAAATTCATTCTTCTTGTAAGTAAAAAAAGTAATAAAAAATCCATTATAAAATTTGAAAAACTTATGCAAATAATTTTGTAGAATTCATTAGTGTTTGTTTCTTTTAAAGGTTGTCGAGTTAAAAACGTCAATTTAAAAATAAATCAAAACGAGTATTACTACTTATGGCAAGTACAGTGGCTTCTTTTTTGGTGATTAAGATTTATATTAATCTTATATATTTTCAGATACAAAGCAAAATTTAAATTGGAGTATACTTAGTACGATTGGTTGGAACAAAAAAAATCTAAAGCGTATGCCCCCCTCCCAACCTCATACGAATAATAATTTACATAACAATAAGTTATATTAATACTGTTACATACCAATAAGTTACAAAAAAAATAAAAAAATTTCATTATTGCTACTAACTTAGTAGCTATAGTAACTGCTATGACTTAGTAACTAAGTCGTAGCAGCAAATAGGGAGGAAATTTTTTTAATAATATAAGGGAGTTAAATTATTAAAAGTTTATATATAATAATATAACTCCCTTATTTATGACTGATTATGATTGAAAACTTTATGCTGAGTCAGAATTTTATGAAAGTATAAATCTGAAAATTAACAGAAAGTGTTCTAATTTGAAGTTGAAAGTTAAAAAAATACACACTAAAACTGTAATGTTTATTACCTTTTTAAAAAACAATAGTACGAATCAAGTTTCTAAAAAAACTTTAACAACCTGGTTTTTAATGTAAAAAGGAATTCAAAAAGATTAAAGTGAAATAAATAATTTTCAAACTTTGAAAAATTTACCTTCACATCTTAAACCGTGCGCAATTTCAGGACATGAGCACTCATACTTTGTTTCCAAATTTAAACATGTTCCACCATTTTTGCATGGATTGGAATCACAAAAATCATATGCTGAAAACGTAGATAATATTTTATGAAAATTATTATCAGGTTAAAGAAAATTATAAAAAAAAAAAAACTGGGATTCTTTTCCACTTTGAGATGTTTTGAATTAAATTATAATTATATACAGATATAGTTAACACTTTTATTTAATACAATAACCTATTACAACGATAAGTTTACAAAAATTATTATTTTATACTTTTTTTTATTCACAAAAAAAAAGTTGGAATTTATGAAACTGCTTAAAATATTTTATGGTTTATCCGTTCTCCTTAGGATTAGGATCATTTCCTGTTTTTTAATCTTATTTAAAAGTTCGGTTCTCTGTGATTCAAGTCATACTTTTTATATAAAAATATAAAATCTCCTCCAGAGTGGTGAGTGAGAATTTTTTTTATTTTTTTTTATTTTTTAATAATTATTTAAACTTTAAAAATCTTATAAAGTATTTTTAAAATAATATCAACTTCTTATAAAATATTTTTTTCATTTAAAAAATTTTGGTATTATACATGTAACTTTTTCAATATAAAATGTTTATAAAACTTACTCTCGCAGTTTTTTCCAATAAAAGCGGTATTACAAGTACAATGAAAATCTTCTTCGGTTTCCGTACATTTTCCGTTGTTATGACATGGGTTTGGTCGACATCTGTCAACATCTAAAATGTAATTTTATACCTGTAATACATATAAGATTATATTCTAAATTAACTATTTTGAAAGTTTGACCTTTCAATATTATTTAAAAAGTGCATATATTACAAAACGAGTTGCTAGGGCAAAAAAAAATAATATATAGTCTTATCGTTTATTTTTTCCATGTCTTTTTTTTGAAAACGTATTTTACAAATATTATAAATAAATGAGATGTCTATAATTTAAAAAAACAAAAAAAGTTCTAGAAAAGTTATCGGACACGTAAACAATGGAGTCTAAAAGTATCCCTTTAAAAATATTTCAACATGTGTTTGAGTTGTGAAATGAAGACGACTTTTACAAAATGTCAAGTGCGGTCGTGTTAGGGGTTGTTCATAAAGTACGTACGCTTCCCCCCCCCTCTTTTCCCCTCGTTTTGCAATACGCTTTTTAGAGTACCCTCCACCTCCATAAAAGTACCTAAGCTTTTAAACTATTTATCTAACATTTTACAATTTTTTTTTTAACAGTCTCCTTTCTTTTATAATTGGCCCACTGTTCTCCCATCTCATATACGCCATTTGCAGACCACTTCTTTCCCTCCGAGCGTACGTACTTTATGGACGATCCCTTATAGCAGTTTTAGTCTTTTCAATAAAATTCTAAAAAGACAAAAAACTGTTTTTTTTACTCCGTCTCAATAAAGGTTCTACATTGAGCATTATGCTTAACATTTCCAATAATAAGCCAAATCAGTCAAAAAAAAATTTTCATTTTTATCTTGAAAATCGTAAACATCGCGGCACAGTGGGAACATTCTATTTAAACAAGTGTCCAAAAATATAATTGTTGTATTTATGTAGATTTTAGGCCTTAATTAAGTAAAATAGAGATTTAAGATAAGATTTTTTATTTTTGTATTTAACCAGCTCATAGGCGCAGCAATGGGAGAGATACAGGTGAGCGCTGGAGGCACCAGTTGAATTTTATATATATATATATATATATATATATATATATATATATATATATATATATATATATATATATATATATATATATATATATATATATATATATATATATATATATATATATATATATATATGATACTTTCGAAAGTATCATATATATATATATATATATATATGATACTTTCGAGCATTGTCCAAACAATGAACAATTAACAATCCTAAATGCTCCAAACTTAAATTCATGCTTAAGTCAAAATGTAATCTTTTGCGAGCCCGGAATCAAATATACCCCAAAAAGTTGGCCCCCACCCCAAATATGAGGGGAATAAGTTTAAAAAAAATTATTTGTTGTTATCTTATACTAACTTTTAATTCAACGACAGGTTTTAACTTTTATCAAAAAATCTTTTATTTTTTTAAGTTATGATCATGTAAAGGTTACAACCGCCTCATTTTGGAAGGGCTGAAAACCTTATACAGTTATATCTTTGGAACTTTAACAGAATATTAAGATTTAATTTTCAACTAATAATAAATAAAAATATAAAAGTTAATAATAATAAAAAAAAATAACTAAATAAACTTTTGGGGTATTCTAGTTTCCAAACTCCAATGACTTGAGCCGAAACACAGTATTTTTTTAAAAAATTTTAATCTAATATTTTTTTAGATGTATTTAATAAAATTATATAGTAGCAAAACAAATATAAAGTTATACATTATACAGACTATACATTTTAGAACTTTATTCTCCTACATCTACATCTAATTTAAGATTTTCGTGAACGTTGTCAACATTTAAGTATAATTTATCTAAGTCATTAATTTCAACTGAATCAATGTCAGATGAACTTTCTTTATTACTGCTATAAACTGCCAACAAACTTTTAACTTTTTAGGTTGGCACAATGTTTTCTTATTTTTCAATTTTTGAGTAAATTAGATTGAACTAATTAAGAGATTAAAAGTATGTATAGCTTGATTGAAAATTTCAAACAAGTTTTTTTTCTCTGCTTTTTTCCTTGCATGATGTTCACGATCAAATTTATAAATTCTGTTTCGAGAATAAGCTGCTTCTTCTCCCATTAAGCCAAGTGGAACTGCTGAACTAATAATAATTTCCACCAGCATGTGCTAATACCTAGTGAATGGAAGCTGGAACCTTAAACCAATCATGTCTCTAACAATTTTTTATTTTATATATCTCATTGCAGCATTTATCAATTTTTTCCGGATCAATTGGGTCTTTGCAATTGATTGCATTAGAATGTATTAAAATGTTATGTAGTCTGATGATAATTTTTTGATTAATTTCTAAAATTTTGCTGAGTAATAGAGAATCAGAAAATGCTCGTAGGCATAAATTTCCGGTATTGTTTGTTCCTGATCCGCTCTTGGTTCATCAACTCTCAAATCAAATTCTTCAAACATCATATTATGAACAATTTTTTTCTCAACAAATATTAATCTTTTAAAAATGATTTTACTTTCCATGTTTCATTTTTAGTCTATATTAAATATGTGAAATAAATTCAAAAATCCTAATCCAAATATGTAGTGGTGAAATGCCATAGCACAATGTCTGCCCATTTGTAACAAATACTTCCTTAAAGATTTTAAGATCGCATATTATGTTAGGTGTGGCATGATAAATCAAACAACATGTGTCGAAGAAGTGTTTGTGATGTAAATTAAAATTTTCCCATCAATCATTGAAATAGCAAAACTATAGTTGATAAAAACATATGTCCTCGAAGGTAAACAAAATATAAATTAAGAATTTCATTTTCAATTTCCTTTTTAATTTTTAGTACCGCTTATTTATTTTTCTTTACATAATTAGCTTACAAAATCTAATACTCTGAGACACTATGTTATTCTATAAAATACTGTTTGAATCCAAATGTACATAGATTCGAGGAGGTGATGTTGGTGTGACAAGTAGATCCGAATCATGAAGGTTATTTTGATTGGAATAATTGAAACTTTCAATTTCAATATATATATATATATATATATATATATATATATATATATATATATATATATATATATATTTTGAGTGACTTGATGCTCCGCCCATACCCTAACTACTAATTAGCATTAACTCATAAAAGTTTTTTTTTGTCATCCAAATTTTTTAAAATTATCTTTTCCTGTAGTTTCACGAGCCTTTCAGATGTGTGATACATAAGGTGTTGTAGTTAAACCTTTGTTTCAGTAACCTCAATCGATTTTTTTAAAGGTGAGCATTTTTTATTTCGGAAATTGCTCGATAAGATGGTAATCTGCATGGAGCTACTTTACGAGTATTGTCATAAACACTTTTTGAAAATTTATTATCTAAGAAGTATGAAAAAAATTTTCTTCAGACGTCATTTTTTTTTGCAACATGGTTATCTGAGTAAAAAGCAATAACGATTCGTGTTGCCATTTTGTAACGACGTTTAGCAATTTAACTAAACTAAATTCGCGTTTATTAAATGTTGTTCTTTGTGCCACTAACAATAGTTTTTCGGCGGATTCCATTTTTGAATAAATAAGTATATTTGCTATCAATCGTCTTTTGGAGCGAGAACTTGATTCGTCCAACTCTTTTGACCTCTTTTTGCTGATTCATTTGTTAAACCCTATTTGTTAGCTGGTGATTAGTCAACTAAATCATTTATTTTAAAAACTGAATAAAGCCAAACCTGAATTCTACTATCTAAATTCATGCCACAGTGCAACATACTTTGCTAGTTTTAACCTCTTTCTTAATAAACATACTTTGTCTTCTTAAATCTTAGTAAAAAGGCATTTAAACCCTCTATCTACATAAATGTATATTACTCTGCAAAACCTCCATAACCTACAAAAGTATTTTCAAAAACCTGAGACCATTGCACAATTTGTCTTAAATTGATTTCATCATTATCTTAGTTCACATATTTACAAAGTAAAAAGAGTTTTTAATAGCATTTAGAAATTCATGTGATTTTTGGCGATCAGTACGACATCAAAAATTGCACTTTAAAATTATTTTTTTTTAAGTTAATTGTTTATTTTAAAACTATTAACACTTAAAATTAAAATAAAAAATAAATTTTTTCCTTTTAAGAATAACACGGAACCAAATTTACTTTAGTCTTTCATGCCAAAGTAGTTATTTTTAGTTTTAGTAATAAATTAAAAAGAAAGTCTTTTTATTCAAAAAAAAATTTTTTATTTTTTTAAAAAAAATTTTTTATTTTTTTAAAAAAACATCAATTTTTCCAAAATATTTAGCACTCAAGATCGCGAATGATCGCAGCCACACTTATCAGGGTAATCAGTAGATATTGCAGACTTAAAAATATCAAAGTATGGAAAAGGAACAAATAAGAACAATTTTTTTATTCTTCATCAAAGTTGATATTTAGTACTTTTGAGATGAATTTTTTACTTTTAATGCATAAAAATTGTAATACCAACTTTTTCAAAACATTTTTCATTTTTATTTTAACAAGCCTATATTATAACCTTTCTAATAATGTGTATATTTTCGATTTTTGAATGATCTATATATTTAATAATAAAAAAAAAATACTAAAACCTTGCATCTTAAGAATTTATATCAAAAATACATTAAAAACCTAATAACAAAGTAGCCACGACGATTGAGCCTGTCACATTTAGAATTTCATAAATTGGAAAATTCTTAGTGAGGGCGTTAGTATCAAAATCCACTATCAAACATAACGTTTAAAAAAAGTCACTTTTTTGATTTTTCAGCCATGTGATTTTACACTTTGCACCGTGGAATCTGTGTGAATCCACTATTGTGGTGTGCACTGTATTCTACTTTGTATGGTAATTATTAGTTGTTAAAGATTGTTATCATATATGATAACAACCTTTAACAACTAATAATTACCAAACACAGTGGAAAGCAGTGCACATCACAATAGTGGATTTACACAGATTCCACGTCAATCTATAGATTGATATCAATCTATAGATTGATGTCAATCTATAGATTGACATTTATTTTATTATATAAACTTTATTGACATCAATCTATAGATTGATGTCAATAAAGTTTCAAACACAAAAAATGAGGCCAAAAACTGCTTTAGGCAGTTATTAAAATTATTACTTATGGTGTAATTCAAACAAATGAAGATCAAAGTTAGTAACAGAAAGAAACTCTTACAAAATGTGTCAGTTTAGCAAATCAAGATCACGTGCATTTATTGTTTTAATCCTGTTTCTACAAAACATATTAACAAACTTAAATCTGTTTTTAGGTATTTTTTTACTCACATATAAGTCACTTTTTTACAAATTTAGAGAGTTGCAAGTTAAAACTAGCTTAAAAATTAAGTCAATTTAAAGAAGTTCTCTTCGTACTTAAGAGCTTAGTTCTCTAAGTAAAACATTAAAGCTTGATTAATCAAACATAGGGGCTTGATTAATCAAACATAGGAGCTTGATTAATCAAACATTGGAGCTTGATTAATCAAACTACAATGGAAAAGTTAGTAGCTTAGTCATTTTTGCTATGATATTGAAAAAAAATGATTTACAAATTTTGTTGACCAACGTCATTTTCTAAAGTTCAGTATAAGTTTATTAAACGACCAAACCCAGCCGGCACACAACTCAGAAAAAAAATTACGCTTAGTTTCTGTTGCATGTTTAAAAACTTCTATAACAATAAAGAATAACACGTATGTGAAACCAGTGATAAAGCACGCGATATTTAAATTTGGCATTAGAACCTCAAAAAACACGTGTTAAACTTGAGTAAAACTCCCCGGGAAATAAACGTGGTTTTAGTTTACGTCTAGATTGTGAAAAACACGTGTTTATACAGATTTTAATTATGAAAGTAAAACTAGATGTACTGGCTAGGAAGAAAAATACACAAAATATGTATACTTTTTTTGTTTTAAAAATGTTCTATTTCAGGTCTTTTATGACTCAGCAGAAGCTGACATTATTACGCCCTTAAGTAGATTTTTCCTTGAAAAAAAGTTTTTAAATACTTTTAAAACCATACAACTGCATATAATTCTTAAATTTATTGACAGATAAAATCTATATAAAAAAATAAAATAGAATACGGTCAGGAAGTTAATACTTTTTCCTTAACAATGATGCATATATGGCCAGAGCCATATACGCGCCATTGTTAAGGAAAAAATGTTTTGTTAATTTTAATTGGAATTTTAATTACATCTAAACTTTATGCTCTCCGCAATCCGACTAGAAATCATTACATCACTCAGCTAAAACAATCTACAAATCTAAAAAAAACTTTTGAAATAGTTTTTGAGTAAACAAGAACTTTGATGCTTGTTTACTCCAAAACTTTAAAAGTCTAAAATATTTCATCAAACAATCGCTTACAATCAAAGTTTTCGACACTACTGCAAAAAAACTGAGGACTTGTACAATCGCGTACTTTTCAAGACATCTTTAAAAGTTAAGAGTGAACGACCATGTCAATATTTGTAACTTTATTTCTTTTTTTTAAAGAGATTTTAATAATGAATAAATATTTCATCATTACAGGTAACATCGTTACTAAATTAAAAATAATCCATTACTTTGATAATAAGGGTTTAATAGCTTTTAATTAAAGTTTTAAATATAAATAAATAAATTTGTAATTTAAAAAGCCTTACTTTCGCACAGATCGCCTTTAAATCCCATGGTACATCCACATTTATAACCTTCAGGAGTTTCATAGCATTGACCTCCATTCTTACAAGGATTGGGTTGACATTGGTTCAAAGCTTAATCAAAAAGTTAAGCGGTTTAAAAAATGTCAATCAATTTTAAAAGGTAGGTTAAAATTATATTTACCTTCGCAATGTTTTCCTTTAAATCCAATACTGCAAGTGCATATGTGACCATGCGTTAAAGCCGTACAAGTCCCTGCATTTCGACAAGGATTTGGGTAACAACGCGCTTTTCCTAATTATAATAATAAAGAAATATTTGTTATTAGTTATTCAATATTAAAAAGTTATTATTTATTATATTTCAAATTATTTTACTATTTTTTTATTTTCTTATTTATGACAAATATTCATAAAAGTTTAAACACTTGTTTCTCACCAGAAGAATTTTCTAAAATGAATTTTATTTTTAAATAAATATAACAGTTATATACGCTTTAAACTTTTTATACATTTAAACAGGTCTTAGTTATTTCTATATTATTTTATTGCTATGGTTATATATTATATACATACGCAAATGTTTTGTTAAATGGTGGCTGTGATATAAATGACTTATTTTTTGAACAGGTTGCGGCTGAAGATTAATTAAATTCTGCTGTGGTATTGATGCTTCAGCACCATCATAAAAAGATTGTTCATTTCTATCAGATTTTTGTGGCAAGGAAACTGTAACTTTTCCTTCAGGAAAATATCTAGGTGCTGAGGTCTGAAGGGTGTGTAGATCAGTTGGTATAATATTTGGTTGTTCTAATGGTGAAAATATTGGTTGCTGCCCTCCACCTGTAATTTCATTTGCCGGCAATTCGCCTCCTGTCATCATACCTATCTTTTCTGCAACTCCGACATTATTAAGATTTATATTTGAAATGGAACTTTGTTCTATATTTGGAACATCGCTTTGTGGAAGATAATTTTGTGGGAGATAATTTTGTGCATTTAATGTGTTTATTCCCGAGTTGATGTGTTGTTGTAGTGTGTTGGCAAAAGGATTGGCTGCAAGCTCATTTTCATGAAAAAGCTGCGACAGTTGATGCTGCCTCAATGCGTTGTGTGGAATATATCTATTCTGAAAGTAAGAAGCGTCATTAAACTCTTTCCTTTGAGGAATAAAAATTCGATTTGGGTAATTTAAAAACTTTTGCAAGTGTTTGTTAGTGAACTGTTCAAAATGGCGAGGGTTTTCATGAGAGTTCCAGCCTATATTATGGTATGAATGTAGCCTGGTTAACTGAGGTGTAGCTATTACACGAAAAGGCTCCATAGGTGCCGGAACGTTAGGGGGAGGACCGTACACATGAACAGCTCCAGGAATGTTTATATACTGTGGTACGCCATTTTGTGAGTGAGCAAGCCGATTATAAACTTGCTGCAAAATGTCAAACTTTTTGCTTTCTGTTTTATTATCTCTATACTTTACAATTTCGGGTTGTAATTGATCGAAAACGTTCGTTAGGTTGTATTTGCTTTTTATTTTATGCTTTTTTGCACTATCAATTCCTTTGTGGTGAATTTTACGAGTGCATTGCGTCCAATTTAAATAAATAATGACTAAAAAGATAAAAATCCATTGTTTTCCTAAATACTGCATTTCAAACAAAATATCACGCTGTTACGATGGTAACTACAAATCACGCTGTTAAAACTACTATGGTCTCACAGCTTTCTTTTTGTTTCCATTTCTTGAACAAAAATCAAAACGCTAAATTAGCATACAGTTAAATTCCATATACAATTTTATAGCAATTTTTATGTATTTTAAATAAAGATACTTATCAAATTAATTATTATTCAATTAAAAACTTGAAAACCAGAGCAAAACAACTTAAATAAAAGCAATTTTAGAAAGTTTAAATGTGCGGCAAAATTAAAGCGTTATGGCTGATTAACTAAACGTCTTTTCGAAAGAAAAAAAACACAACCGAAAATAGAACTTTTTTTTAGGAAAAAACAAAACTTTTTTTTTACAGACTTTTGAAAAAATAGCACTTTTTAATAAAAACTCAATGTTAATTTTAAATTTTTTGTTTTTAATTCGATAAAATGCTTACAAAACACTTATATTTTTATTAAAAAATTAATTTTTATTAAAAAAATAAGAAAATAAATGATAAATAAAAAGATTAATGTTTGGGAAATAAAACATTTTCTTGTTATATTCATTTTCTTAACTTTGTTTATTTGAATATCATACTATGTTTTTGGCATACATTGCTCTAAAAAATCCTCTTAGCCAAAATAGCACAAAAAAAGCCATAAAGACTAGAGTGTACGTTATTGACCAAAGTTTTTGCTTACCGAAGTACGCAAAAAAGTTTGCCTTTATTGTCATGAGGGACGAAAATATCCCGGAAATTTGCAACTCGGGAAATTTTGGAAATTTTCAAAAAAGATTAGTTATTTTATGGGTAAAATTCAATGTCTTATTTAGGAAGTTGTTATGGACAGTTTAATGGCAAAATATTGAGAAGCAGATTATAAAAATTTTAGAAAGCGCCATTTGAAAAACACTTTTTCAATATTTTCTTAAGTTTTTTCATTGTAGCTATAAATAGCAACTATGATAATTTGTTTTCAAAGTTTTCTACAATTGTTTTATTCTGTAATTTGCTAAGCATACTGACGTTTGTTGCCGTAGCAAGCTTTGTTTAAGGCTAAAGATAGTTTGCACCCCCATCCCTTAAGGAAAAGGGTCAATACCTAATAAATTTGCCTGAAAAATTACTGAAAAATTGTATGAAAAATAAAGACTCGATTGAATACTCACCGTATTTTAAAACTTTTTCTTGATTTAACGATGTTATTGATTAATGGAAGACAAAAAGTAAAGAAACATTTTTGCTAAAATTGAACTATTTAAAAAATAAAGCTAGGATTAAAAAAAAAAACTAATGATTTCGAGGTCATAAACACCGCTGCTATATTTAAATAACTTTTAAGACTTAAGTTCCACTCGCCACAGTTTTGCTACGGCACTTTGGACTTTAGAAATCTATAAATTAAAAAATTTTGCTATAATTTAAAACGGTTTAAAAGTATAATACTGTGGGCGATTTGTGCGTGCGTGTGTTTTATAAGTACCATACCAAGCAAATTAATTTATTGTTATTTTAGTGAACATTCAGATCAAATGTGTTTTCTAATGTTGTTTTTAGATAAATTATTATAATCTAACAAAGTTAGTGCATATATAGCATAAATGAACAAGTTAGCTCGAAAACATCTATTTTTCGTTTTTCCACAAATATTATAAGACAACTTTAAGACAACTAAAATATTCATCGATCGGGTTCAATTGCAGTAAATAAGGTGGCAAAAAGTAAACTGAAACATTCAATTGGCCAAGCAAATTGATTACATCTCTTCGATAATGAAATGCATAATTATCCAAACTAGTACAGAATGGAGACTCGTTTGGAAATACAGTCTTAAATTGTTGGTTATAAAATCACAAAAAAGATCGCCATTATAGACACCATCCACTATCTTAAAGCTTAGAATACCATTAACTGTTATAACGGCCATTAAACTTACATTCTTTCCACGATTTGTAGGGATATTTTAACAAAAACCACGTCTAAGAAGTGGTTTTTGTTAAATGTACTATGTGACGAGTTCTTCTTAAAATGGAACGCACTGAGTTATTTTATTCTTTTTTAAAAGACCAGAGCAAACAAGCTGATTTAGTTTTATAAAAAAATTTAGAAATGTGCCACTGTGAATTGTAATAAACCTTTTATAAGGCTTGATATTATGATAACTCGTAATAATAACTCATAAAACAAAACGTTCAAGAAAACTGGACCACCCTGATCTACTATATACTTTATATTAACGCAATTACTATTGCATAATACTACAAGATAAATGATAAATTTTAATCACGAATTGTAAAGTATTTTGAAAAGCAATCAAAACTTATTTTTTAAAAATTAGTAAAACTTAAACTAAAGTTAAAAATTTTGTTCTATTTTTCTTATTAATAAAGTAGTAAATAAAAAAGTATTATATATAACTAATTTAAACATAAAGAGAAATTATTTTCAAAATTTAAATAACTTATTTATCGGATAAATCAAAAGAATTCTTTAATTAGGATATGAAACAGAAACTACTTTCATTGAAAATTAAATTTTAACGTTTTGCTGATAAATTTTTCAAATTAGATTTTTATAAGGTTATAAAGGTGGAGCTTCTGCTTTGTGTGTCTGCTGGGTCGTCAAAAAGTTTTTGGTTAATTAAAATAAAACAGCTGTTAATAAGCAAACAGAAAATACCGCCAACATAAACGTTTTCAACTAAGTTTAGTTAATATAAAAATCTTAAAAAAGAAAAAGGTTTTGTATTTGTAAAAACATCTTTGGTAACAATCATAAAAAAAAAATTAGGATTTAAAAATATCAAGTTATAAATAATGATATTTGTTTCGTCTATGATTCTTAAAAGATTGGTTTTGCTTATTTTTAATCAAGTTTTATCTCAAAAGTGCCATAACAGTGTTTTAAAAAAAGATGGATTATTTAGAATATATGCTTTACTTTCAGTTCACACATGCGATCCGAATAAAATTAAGTACCGGGGTGTTGCTCAAAAAGAAGCTTTGATATACACTATTGAAAGAGCTAATCTCTTTTTTAAGAAACAAATGATTGGATACACTATATACGACACTATATTACCCTTTCTTCTGATGAAGATTTTTCATCTTTCAATGACTCCACAACATCAACTTTATCAAAGTCAAACAAGTTTGAATCAAAAACTCTAGGATTAGTTGGGCTTGTCACGTCGGCTAACGCCAAGTCATCATCATGCATTCTCTTACACCAACCTCCCGGTAATTAGCTACTCGGCCACAAGTGATGAGTTAAGTGATAAAGACTTATACCCAAATTTTTATCGTACTGTACCTCCTGATGTTTTTCAGGTTACGCTTATATCTAACCTTTTAAAGTTTTTTAATTGGACTTATGTATCTATTGTTGCTTCAGATGATTCCTACGGTAGGTCCGGTGCACATCAACTATCTCTAAAATTGGATGAAGATTTGTGTGCATTCTAAAAGTGTAATTACAAATCAAAATAACAAAAATGATCTTATTTTAAATTTAAATTCTACCCCTAAAGTTAGTGTCATAATTTACTGGGGAAACTTTATTTCATTAAAATTCCTTCTCTCTGAATCAAAAAAGTGTAAGCTGTTTGAAAAAGTGTGGATATTGAGTGAAGGTGTTGGTTTGGAAAACTGGCTTATTGAGTTTATAAAAACTTTTAAAGGTAAAATTATTATGATTAATCCGCATACTTATATTGAAGAAAACTTTAAACAGCATTTTTTAAATTTAACATACAATGAGAGTAGTCTATGGCTTAAAAAGCTACTTAAACAAGCAAATCCACTTAAAGCCAAACCTGTAGTAAAAAACTTCGGAGAACTATTTGATTATAGACGCGTTGGTTACCATCAAATATCAGTAAATGTGCTAATTTATGCTTTTAGAAAGTATATGGAAAGTATGTGTAGCAGAGAGTCATGTTCAAAGTCAATAGTTTCCATAAAAAATAGAAAAAAATTCAATAATTTTTTGAGAAGTGCAAACTTTTTGCATAAATTTAATGAAACATTTACATTTGACAACAATCAGGATCCAACATCAGCAAGTTATGATCTTTACGTGGTGACTGATTTAGGTTTTAAGCATTCTGCTTCTTGGACATCAACAAAAGGTTTCACAATAACAAACTACTCACATTTAAAATCTTTTCAAATTCCTTCAGCTCGCTTCAAACCATGCCTACCAGGTCAATATAGCGTTTTCAAATATAATGGGTTCTGGACTTGTATTTCATGTCCAGAAAATTATGTTAAAAGTTCTAGTGATAATGCTAGATGCATTCCATGTAACATAACAGATAACTTTATCAGTAATTCTAACAGAACAAAATGTGTCAGGTTAAAACATATTTATTGGAATTTATTTACTTTCACAAGTCATATGCTTGCTTCATTGTTTTTTTCTATTACAGGTGCAGCCATAACTATAGCCTTTATGCTAACATTTTTTGTTAAAAGAAACACACCGGTCGTAAGATCATCAAACTTTTATTTGTCTATGCTACAAATGACGTTTCATTTTGCCTTATTTAGCCTAATATTTTTAATTATAGGAAAAGAATCGTATTGGAAATGTATTTCTACAACGTTTATTAGCGGAATATTATATTTTGGGATTATTACATTGATTTGGCTTAAAGTAAGAAGATTAGTGGCAATATTTGGTACAATACATAAAATGAGAAAAAGAGACATAAAACGCATAAGATTTACAGAATTTTTAATATTTTTAACATCAAATTTATTTCATACTTTATTGATGTTAGTAATTAATATAATTCATCCGTTACGCGTCATTCAAATAGTTAATAAAGACGAATTAACTCTACACAAATTATGCAGGTCAGAAACTTATATGATAGCACATATTGGTTGTGCTCTGCTTTTAATAATTTTTCGTGCCATTGAAATGTTTAAAGGAAGGAACGTGCCTTGGAATTACAACGAGACAAAGGTTATTGTATTTGGAATTTTTTCGTCTATTTTAGTCAAGATAATTGCGGTACCACTAGGATTTAGTATATCTGAAGGTAACAGCTACAAGCTCATGCTATGGATTGCTGTCAATATTTCAAACTTACTTCTTATAATTTCTTCTTATATATCAAAAATTAGGACTATTTGGTTTCAATCTAAAAATAATAATTGGGCTGATTTTCGACCAGGGTTTCGAAATAATATGAACTCTGATTGTTCATTGAGTTCA